TCATTCCAGATAAGGCACAGTCCATCCCAAATGTCCCCATTATAGAAAAGCCCTCTGTGGGGATCTAAAGCCGTTATTTAAAGAAGTCTGGTGCAATCAGCACGGTTGAAAGACAAGTGGAACCCAGCACTGCTTTGCAATGAAATAGCCAGGCTACGAAGCCCTGGTGCGACAAAGAAAACTGGGACACTATTGATCAGCAGCTTGCCTCCTGCAGCACTGTGTTCATCATAACACAGCCGGCTGCCAGCTCGCACTCTCTCAATCACTACCTGCCACACAGAAGCCCTATCCTCTCCCCAGCACGTGTGAGTCCTACCTGCCTCCGTGACCTGCACTCCTCTGGGTTTGCTAGGCTCCCACTCCAGCCCCACGTCCACAGCGCCACTCAGGTTCTCAATGGTGTTCACCAGCTACAGAGAGAACACGCACACCGGTTACCCCCACAGAGCAGCAGAACGCCTCCGACATAAAAGCCCTCTTATTCAAACAAAATCATCCTCTCTTTTTCCAGCTGACAGGCACTTGGCAGGAGTGAAAGTGTGGAGTCTTTGGCGTGTTTATGGTGGGGTCAGTGACTATGACGCTGTAGAAGGATAGAAACAGAGAGGAGCAGGTGGCAAACAGAGTGAAAAAGTCGTTTTGAAGAAGACTGATCCTTGTCGAGATTTCACTCCACGCGAGTGGCTGACGTGTATCGCTCACCGTTCCTTAACACCACATTCAAGTTCACAAACTGCAATTATCGTGACGCTACATAATTATTAACGGCAAAAATCAGCCCATTCATTTTTAGGTTTTACTCTTCGTGAGGTCTGTTTTGTAGAATGTTAAATATGCATCATTATTAAAAAAAAAACAGATTGAAGAGAGAATTTCCTTAGTTTTGTGTCGAAGAGCTGAAGTTAACACAAGAAACACATGAACTGGAGTAACTGTGTACATATTTTCACACTTTTTTCAATCCTGCAAAATGAGCAGCACTTCCCTAAGCCGATGTAAGCCCATGGGCCTCCTCACCATTCTGGTGCTGGCAAACTCCCGCTCCATGTGGTCAGCAACGTCCTGCAAAGCCTCCAGCTGAACGTCCATCTCGGAGAGCTTGGCCGCGAACTGGCTCTTAGTGACGGGGCGTCTCGCACCAGAGGCCTCGCTGCGCACAAGCAGCTTGTGGGTCACGTCAGCTCCCAGGGGATCTGCTGCTGCTTCTGCCGTCCGCCCGGCTGCTGTCCACAGGGAAGACAACGGGGGGGACACTAGACCCCCGCACAAAGACCAGCTCAATCTGACAGTGAGCGTACTGGGACAGATGTGCAGTGTGGGCTGAATGCAGATGTTTCTGGGCAGTCCTCTTCAGATGCCTGTGCTTGAAACTTTGTGTTTGACATCAAAGAGGACAGTGCTTTGAACCTGCACAGCTAGGTGCTGAGTGCGTTTGGTCAGCCTGCTTTATGTTCAAAATTAAAATCCAGTTACATTACACACCAGCATCAAATTGTGCAATATTAAGGCCTACCTCTCTCCAAGCTAAAATATAATGGTCTCGTTCAAAATATTCTTCACTAATTATCTAAACATCAGCATTCAGTACAGCCTTAGTAGTTCTCAATTCTTTTGTGTTAGTAAAATAATGCATTTCATGTTATAAGAGCAGGAATGTGGCCCACAGTATTTTTTAGATGTAGTCAGTTGTTCTTAGCAGCTCCTGTTTTTGGTTATTGGGAGTGACTGCTGAAAGGGTGAAAACCATGTTGTAGAGGTGGAAAACCAAGAGACACTAACAAGAAAGAATGCAAATCAATACTTTTAGAGGCAAAAACAAAAAAAAATCTAGCAGAAAGCCACTCTCTGCACAGCCAAGTTAGATATGATTGCTACAACAAGGATGTAGCATCTAGGAAGGGTCTGGGAACAGATTTTGGAGGTTTTGTTACAGCAGCACAGTACAGCTGGAAACACAGCTGTTGAGATCCTTTACCAGGAGCTGTCAGGAGCTGACTCTGCACCCCCATGTATCCTTCTGGAAACTACCTTGTGCAAGACCTCCTGGTCTGTCGTCCTCGGTCTCCTGCAGGAAGGCGTCCGGGGGAACAGCGTTGGTCACGGAAGCGGCCATGTGGTGGAGCTGGGCGTTCGAGGGGGGCGACGTCCTGCATCCTGGGGCCAAGCCCGAAGCCTCCTCAGATAACGGCAGGGCGCTCAGGAGCTGCTCGTCCTCGATGTCAATGACGTTAATGAACCGGCGGCCGGAGAGGTCCTGAGAAAGAGGAACGAATGCGTCAGAGGAATCCAGGGCAGCTCGTCCTCGTCCCCCAGGTCGCCTGTCCGCGCAGCAGGCCAGCCTGAAGTACACGAGAGAAAACCTACCCCTTCTCCCGGGGGTTCATGGCCAGCTGGGGC